ACTGGTGATCACCAGTGACCATCACTGACCATCACTGACCATCACTGACCATCAGTGACCATCAGTGACCATCAGTGACCATCAATGGTTCCATCAAACCATCACTGAGATCTTTTGGTGATCAGCAATGGTTCCACCAAACCATCCCAAATGTCCCCAAATGTGTTCAGGTGTACCCCAGCTGTACCTCAGGTGTGTTCAGGTGTACCCCAGGTGTGTCCAGGTGTACCCCAGGTGTACCCCAGGTGTGTCAGTGTGTGTTCAGGTGTGTTCAGGTGTACCCCAGGTGTACCCCAGGTGTACCCCAGGTGTAGCCCAGGTGTGACTCACCGTTGATGAGGTAGGGGTGGTTGCAGCACTTGCGCAGCTCCATCATGGTGTTGAGCAGGTTGGGGACGTTGCCGTGCCCCGCCCCCCGGGCCAGGTAAGCGAAGTTGCGCTCCAGGATGGCGCGGTACAGCCGCTTCTGCGCGTTGGTCAGCTCCACCTCGATGATGGTCTCCTGCTTGGGGGCCAGGTTCTTCTCCACGTCCTCCTTCAGCCGCCGCAGCATCATCGGCTTCAGCAGCGCCTGCAGCTTCTGCACCTGCGCGGGGGTGCCACAGGTGTGCCACAGGTGTGCCACGGGTGTGCGACGGGTGCGGGACAGGTGTGGGACGGGTGTGCGACAGGTGTGGGACAGGTGTGGGACAGGTGTGGGACGGGTGTGGGTCAGGTGTGGGACAGGTGTGTGACAGGTGTGGGACGGGTGTGGGACGGGTGTGCGACAGGTGTGGGACAGGTGTGCGACAGGTGTGGGACGGGTGTGCGACAGGTGTGGGACAGGTGTGTGACAGGTGTGCGACAGGTGTGGGACGGGTGTGGGACAGGTGTGCCACAGGTGTGCGACGGGTGTGGGACGGGTGTGGGACGGGTGTGCGACAGGTGTGCGACAGGTGTGCGACAGGTGTGCGACAGGTGTGGAACAGGTGTGGGACAGGTGTGCGGCAGGTGTGCGACAGGTGTAACACTGGGTGTGTGTCCAGGTGTGTCCCCAGGTGTGTCCAGGTGTGTCCCACATGTCCCCATGTCCCCAGGTGTATCCAGCTGTCCCCAGGTGTCCCCAGCTGTCCCCAGGTGT